GATCAAGATGTCGTCCTTGTACCCCTTGTCCGAGTCAGGAAGATGGGTTACAAGGTACATAGAGGGGTCCCTGGCTTTGAGGTAGAAATGTTGGTGGGGCATGACTCTTAGGAGGGAGTAACAGAAAAGGAGATCGTTGAGCCCAATATTCACCCCGAGGCGCCTATTGAGCTCTAGGACCCCCATAATTATCCGAAAGACGTTGAGGCAGCATTGCCCGGGGAAGAGACGGAAGCGAGACAGGAACTGAAGAAGCAGGGGGGGTAAAGGAAACCTAATGCCACCCTCTATGATGGCCTTGGTATAGAAAGGCATGGCATCCGCGGCCCCGAAGGTAGGAGAGTTCAACAAAGGGTTAAAACCCACTACGTCCACGCTCGGGGGGATGCCATACTTCGCCCTGAACCTATCGATCTGCGCCTCGCCTGTCACCTTGTATTTCCCTGACCCCGAGGGACCAGCCGATGGATTCTCGGGAACAGGGCGACGACGAGGCATCTCTAAAAGAAAGGGAAGGAAAAGGTGTTCTCTCGAGAAAACCTGAGGAAGTTCCCCGAGGGTTTAAATCAAGACGTACCGACCGGATGACACCACTGTTCAATCGGAAAGCAAGAAGGCTAGGGGGACGATAAAGAAGAAGGTTGTGAAACTCACCAGAAGACGTCGGAAACGGAGTTTTTCAGGAAAAACTTTGAAAACGACTCGCACCGGAAGGACCAGGAGTCAACAATGGGTTTACTGACTGTGATTTTAAGAGAAGATGCTGTCGATGATGGCTGAGGAAACAGAAACTCCGGCGAAGCAGATCAGAAAAGGCGTATTCTGGGTCAGAGATCGGAATGGCAAAACAATGGAAACCGGAGAAGAACCCCCTTTATATAGGGGGGAAACTGTCATCATTGGGCGGGAGAACCAAAACGGCGCATTTAATGCGCACGACATCCCAAGACGGGGAAAGCTGCTCGAGGCCATAATGAAGGACGGATGGCAGTTGGAAAACCCTTCGTCTCCTGACAACGCGTGTCCTCGGCGTCAGAAGATCGAAGGCTGGGGGGCAGTTGATGGGACTCTTCTGAAAAAGCCTATGATGAAGACACGTGTCCTCGGGGGTTTCTAGAACAATGTTGCTCGGGTTCAAGCACCATCGGCAAAAGCGTCCTCTCCCCCGAGGTACCTCTCATATAGGATCACATATTCGGTACATTATACAATGACATGTGTCCTCGGTCACCATGTACCTCGGGAACACACCACCCCTTGGTCCCCCGAGGTGAGCCTTTCCTCGGCGCCGAGGGTCACTCCATCCTGGACGCTTCCTCTACTCCCGGATAAAGCTACTGACGTACGGGACATCAGCCTATGCCAGTCTAGACTATTCATCATGACCTCGTCTTACACAAGTAATGTCAGAACATGCTGGAATACAGAAGTCATAGCCAATACGTGACGGACGCGTGGCATATGATATCACATCAAAAACAGGCAAACCGCACGCTATTGCTGACATGCGCTTTGGGAAGCAAACAATTAATTGCACCCTTCTGTTGACGAGACCGCATTCAATGCGGTAAGGTTCGGATATGAAAGGCAATAAATGCTCCTATTACAGAGCATTTATTGCATCCTTCCCGAAAGGAGCATATTGTACCGTCGGCGTCCCGACGACTCAACATTGATTGCTCGGGACCCCGAGCAGTCAATTAGAGAAGACATTCCTCATCAAATCAATACACACGCTACCAGTGCCTGATGATCACCTACTGACCACACTGACAGCAATCATGAGCTTCTGAGGTATAAATACTCCTCCCAAAAGGCAAAGCCGGTATGCAATCTCAAACTCTCAACTACGAAATATCCTTCTCAGTGTTTTCTCCTTCCTCTCTCTCATTCAAAGACTGACTAGACCGTCGGAGGGGATACGCCGGAAAACACTCCGGCGCCCTTCTAACTTGTTCTCCTTTGTTCCAGGAAATACCTTTCACACGTACAGGATCGTTCCTCCTTTCCCAGGATCTCCCTTTGCCGTTTCCGGTTGCCACCGTACCTTGTAGGCTGTTTCCAGCAGCGTGTTTGGCTACTCAACCGGCTCACCCAAAGTTCACCAGGGGAGAGATCTGTTCCCAATATTTTATATATCGTGCAGGATCGAGCCCGCACACAACCAATTTAAACATGGTGATTTTTGCTTTAAAAGAAGTGATTTTGTTATGCATTGCCCTGGTTGTTGCTTGATCGGCCCCAGGCAATGTAGTGTGTATTACATTACCTTATACATTCATTGTGCTATCTATATCCGTGGAGGGGTAGGTTATTTTCTCCTCATTTTCTTGAAGCTTTTTGATCCCTATGCACAATTTTGCATACCAAATGGCTGTGCATGGGACACTGTTTCAAAGACCCTCTTGTGCTGGTATTAGTACATTCAATATCTTTCCCATTTCCAGACAACAATATACAGAGCATTCCAAACCTTTAGGCATGTCTTCGATGACCTAACAGAATCGAACCTATGTACAACAAAAGTGGAGCCAGCTTACCCTTCTTTCCTAGTTAGCACAGAGAAATGTGATGTGACATACCATGAGAGAGAACTTTTAGAAGGAGATGTAAACTGTATTGAAGTTTTCTATAAACGTGATTGCTTGGTGGCTATAAAATATGGATACGAGATACACGATATGGGATATGGGATATGGATACAATACAATATAAATACGGTAATACAATAAAATTTTAAAAAATAGGATATGAGTATGGCTAAAATACGGTTATAATAAAATATTTTTATTATTTTCAACCAACGTAACACATATTTTAATAGTTCTTTAACATATAATAAGAAAAATTAGTAATTATTTTTAGTTTCAAAAAAATATATATCGTGTCTCTGTGGTATATTCACAAAGTAAAATGCTTAATTAAAGGAATTAAATTTAATATTTACCTAGTATTTAGAAGTTATTTTTACTAAGATTATAATGTAGTAATTTTATTTTATCCTCTTTTGACATGTAATTGTAGATAATACTCAAAAAACTTATGTGCTTTTGAAGTAATATGAAATTTTTGTTATTGTTATTGTATGGTATATGAATTTGAAAAGAGATATTAAAAGTTCAACTAAAAAATTATATATGCTGCTCTATTACAAAAGTATCTGTGAAGTATCTTAATATTTAATTATTATCGGATACGTAGAAGGTATATTCGATACGTATCCTCGAGTATTTGACGAGTATCGTATCTGATACGGGTACATCAACCTCAACGAAGTGTCCGTGTTTCATATGTTGGTGCCAATGGAAGGGTATGAAGTTTTCATCTTTGTAATTTGCACCCCCTTAAAGAAACCAAGGTTTTAAGAAACTAGAGTCATTGGAGAGCATGGCCTTGGCACAACGGTAAAATTGTTTAAATATGATCTAGATTTGTGGGAAAAATTATTTTCATAAGCGGGATAAGGCAATGTGTATTTAATCCTCTATAAATTCGACAGTTGGGGGAGGGGAGGGGGGTAAACATAAGTTTGAGCCTAAGTCTGACAAGCTCGTTTTTTCAAAATAAATTTTAAAAATGTTCAAGTTTGATTTTTTTTTTTTTTTAAAAAAAAAAAAAGAAAAGAGCTCGAGCCAAACACCAAACAAGCCGAACTTGAGTCAAACTTGAGTCCAAAACAAGCTGAGAGTTGCTTATTTTTTAAACGAGACTAAAAATTATTGAAGTCTAAAACGAGTCCCAGTCAAACTCAAGAGAAGCCAAATTTGAATCAAGCTACAGTTTGATGTAGTGGACTACAAATGTTCAGAAATACATATCAAAAAAATAATTGAGTAAATTATACAAATAACCCTTACACTATAATACTTGTGTCAATTAACCCCTAAACTAATTTTTATGTTAATTGAGTCTCCAAACTTTGAAATTTTAGCAATTAAGTTCCTAAACTAATTTTTGTATCAATTGAGCCCCTAAAATTTAAAATTTTAGTAGTTAAGCCTTTATTTCAAGAACCGTTGGGTTTTTAAAAGAAATGTATCACTTGGACAATAATTTAGGGGTATTTTAAATTATTCGTTCAAAACATATCAAATGAAAAACTTCATTCCTTATGCTCAACAATCGAAATTCTAAACTTAAACCTTTTTGATATTTATCAAACGAAACAAATTAGCAAGTTCTTCAATCTAGTATAGAAAACAGAATACATAAATGTAAGTTTTTTGAAGAATTTAAGGGCTCAATTGACACGAAAATTAGTTTAGGGACTTAATTATCAAAATTTTAAAGTTTATAGACTCAATTGATATAAAAATTAATTTAAAGACTTAATTGCACTCTAATTTATTCAAAATAATTCAGTAGAAAGTCGCCTCTTGTTTTAATGCCGAACCTCAAACAATGGTTTACCAGGAGGTCCCACCAAGGGACAAGCGATTAAAAAAAAAAAAGTACGCCGTTGCCGGGGATCGAACCCGGGTCACCCGCGTGACAGGCGGGAATACTCACCACTATACTACAACGACACCTTGTATTGGAAAAGACATCTCAATTAATATTCATTCAAGCACTCACTTTACACACCAACCCAATCTCACGGCTCACGCTAGCAATTTTTATGCAGACCCCACCACGGCCCCGAACTCACCCCGTGGCGCAGTCAACACCCTCTCCAACGCACGCCAACTCAAAACCAGTAGTCAACTTTTCTGTCACGTCCCTTCATATTAACAACCTGGTCCCTCTATATTTGACGTCCCGCGAAACACGTAGTCGCCATCAATCCTCCATGAACGGAGGGAGAAGACCATAATCTCTAACCGTCATGCTCAATCTTCTCTCCGATCCCCAATTCAATCCGATCAACTGATCTTCTCTCTCTTTTCTCTAGAAAATCTAGCTCAAAAGTGTTTTTCCCAAGAATCTAGCTCCTGTAAAATCTCTCTCTATAAATAGATTGCTGTAGATTTACATATATTTGTTTATAATTATCTGTATATATGGATCGGAGAAGGACGGGGAGTCCAGTGTACACTAGGCAGTGGAGTGGAGGTTCTAGCAGCACGGGCTCTTCATCTCCGGCGAGGTCGCCGGCGCATCCTCACTCGCGGTTGCCACCGGCGGCTGGATTCTCCACAATCAAGAGGACTCAAAACTTCGCCGCCAAAGCCGCGGCGCAGCGTTTGGCGCGAGTCATGGCGTCACAGACGACCGAAGATGACGAGGAAGATGATGATCTAGGGTCTCGGTTTGGGGATCCGCCACCTTCTTTGCCTGCTATTTCGATTTCTAAGCCTAACAGATCTCCGTCTCCTGCGGTAGTTTAGCAATTCTCCATTTATATGTTGTGGTTTGGGTGTAGTTTTTATTCAATTAGTGTAGATGATATGATATTTCATCTGTTTTCAGAGTAATTGGAATTTTGAATCTCGGATGCTCATAAATTTTGAATATGTTATAGAATCTATTGGTTGCCACGACTTGAAATTTGAAATTGTTTATTGTGCTTATTGTTCAGTGGAGTCTGTGTGATGCATTTCTAAATCATAGAGTAAACATCATATACCTCAGTTTTGGCCTGCTAAATTGATGTTTTGGTAAAAAATCTTAATTGTGAAACGAAATCTTTGAGTGGCAAAAATTCCTGGAATAGGATTTCAATGCGAGTTTTCTCATCATAAAAATTTTATCTATCTACAATCTTTATACACGTTTAGTTTCTTTCATGAAACCCATTTACTGGAGGAATGGTTTGCTAATTTTTACACTTAATGCATAACAAGATGCTTTAGGAGTTGGACTTGTTTGACGGGAACAAGATGCCTGTTGATACACTCGCTTGTGTGGCCTTTATGGATCCATTATCACTGTTGTTTGTGAAGAAATATTGCTCTATACTTGAGAATGAGTGGAGGTATACCTTGGTTGCAATTCTGAATACTAATTGGAACTTCTCGTTTGTAGTTAGGCCGGAACGGTATGGATCACACATCTTCAGTTCGTTCTACATCAACAGGGAGGCCATCATCACTGTCTGTTCGTTCAACAACCATGGTGCCTCCTAATAGAACATCCTTAAGAACTCCAGTCTCCATCCCCCCAATAGATCCTCCTAGTAACAGACTAAGAGAAAAGAGGTAACTTATGTTATGTTTTTGTTTGTCAATTATCTTCTTTTTAAGTAAAAAATGGACACAATTTTGAGGCACTATTTAACTTTTACTTCGGAGTGCTCATGTTCAAGTGAATCATCTGAAACCTCAATAAAGAGGCAGAAATCTTTGTTTTATTTTCTTAAATATTGTTCTCCCATCATTTGTCTTGGTGTGGGGAGAAGGTGAAATGTTTGTTGTCTACTACAAGATAGCTAGTTTTGTGGCTTGCGACATTAAAAAACCTATGCGGTCCGGAATGCCTTTGTAGTCTTTCTAATGCTAATGCATGCCTAGAGAAGTTATCTTTTAACTTTTATAGAGAGACCGGTCACAGTATGAATAGGGCGGTTATGGGGCCAAATTCCAATGTGATTTTGATTGAGCTTGTGTTCGATCCTATTCAGAATTTGACACACTCATACTCAGGATTGACCACGTCAATGCCTAGTGGATTGTTTAGCTTTTTCCTTCTTGACACTGCTAGTTAAAAGTTCTCATTTTGTTGATGCTTGGATTATAAGCTAAATCAGTGTTATTTAAGACGTAAAGTAAATCGAAGCGAACCAGTCTTCTAAGGGCATAGACGAGAAGTGAAGCGAGTGTTTCAGTGAACCAAAGTGAACAATATAAAAAATAAGCAAACATTTTAGTTTCATACTTTGATTACTCCTAAATATTTAAGTTTTAACTTTACAAATATAAAATATTTAAATGCAATCAGAATAATAAACATCAACATATTTTAAATAGACAAGATATTAAATATTGAATATTATTGTATTCTAAAAATAATCAATTGAAATAATCACGTCATATAAATGTAAAGTTAGCAAATGTAGGTTCGACTTCCACCGTGATTGATTAATATCACCACTAAACAAAGGATCCAAAAATTGATTAATCAAATAAAGCATATAGCAAATTAATTAATCAATTTGATTAACTAAGCAAATTGATTAACAAGAGTATTCACATCAAAGTAAAACATTCAGTATTATCTAATCATATTAAGATAGATTGTCATATGATACTGTTACACGAATCAATCAATTTATTTTATACATATACACATATAATATCATCTTTGCTAGGGTTTAGTTAATGTTAAAGAAGAAGGAGGAGGAGAAAATAAAAAAAACTGTAGTTAGGCGTTCGTTTTTCTCGCCTGGCTTGCTTCTTCACTTCGTCTCCTAAGCCCACGTTTTCCTTGTTTTATTTAACCTCGTTTCGCCTTGGATGTTCAAGGTGACTAAGGCTCGCTTAGCTTCGGTTCTCGCGCCTAGGCTCGCTTTTCACAACACTGAGCTAAATTACTAGAGTAGATTATATATTATTTTCAAGTTATATGAATATTTGAGTGAGGACAGAAGAAACAGTAGCCAGATAAGATGTAGATATGTGAGTGTATTTTGAGTTGCTTAATTGTTTGTTGAGTGTGTACTGATTTACTGTTTTTTGTATTTTCATTCTCCTCCACCACAAAGAACTCCTGTGCATGATCTTGGGTAAGCACTCTATTGTCAAGTCCAATATGTGTCCATGTGCCCCTTTCCTCTATGTTTTCAAGCTTCTATGCGGAATTCTATGCAAGGAACTTCCATACTATACTTCATTCTTTTTTTTTTTCCTTCTTGACGGTGGACGTAGATATTAAATTCTATGCAGCACTTTAGTATTCTGCCTGCCAACATATAAGTTGCAGGCTTAGCTCTCAGCATAAATACATTTGTTTATCTGTGCCCATTCCACCTTGTGTGCATGAAGGTGCCTCCATCTTTTAGTTCCTAATGCTGTATTATCCATCTGTCAGTTGTAACTTGTAAATGTTAATTGTTAGGACTCAGGAGAGCATGATGAATTAATTCATGATGATCTATTGGCAGCATGTTGATGTTATTCATTATTGGCAATGTTCTAGGTTTCCAGCGGATATGGGACGTGTTGATTTCAAAGATACAGGAAATCAGCATGAAGCTTCTGCACTCCGTGATGAAGTATGCTGGTCGCTCTCATCCATTTTTGTCTTCTTATCAGGCTTACAGCTAGCTTCTAAAATAGAATAAGAATGAATCCATTTCTTGCACATTCCAGATCTTTATGAAACTTTGGTTTTTAATTATAGACAGGAGGAAATAAGCATGCTATTTTGGAAATTATATAAGTACAATCCATGAATTCATTATTAAGTTGATGTCTGCTTAAATTGCAGCTTGATATGCTTCAAGAAGAGAACGAGATTATTTTAGACAAGGTAAGGCACATGCACATAAAAGTAGATAATTTAATGCGTGGATATTGTTTGTTATATTTTCTGAATATTGTTTGCTATCTGTAACATCTTGACTGAGTTGCTCTACAGCTTCGTTCTGCAGAAGAAAAACGCGAAGAAGCAGAGGCCAGGGCCAGGTTGCTAGAGACACAGGTAAATGTTCTCCATCACTAATGTACAATTCCAAATTGTGCTATCTGGTGTGTTATTTGAGCTTGGAATAAGTTGCATATAACTGTTACCTGTTAAGGGACTTCCAGAACTCGTTAGCTGTTGTTTGCTGTCATGACAACAGAATATTTTCCCAAGACTTCTTGATTGATGTATATTAACCGGCTGGTTGTCCCTGTAGTGGAGCTAACCATTCATACTGCAGCTTAGTTGCCACTGTTGTGTTATCTTTCAAATTGGATCTTTCTTGTTAACTTCCTTAATAAATTTCTGCAAAAACAATCTAGACAATTATATCAGCATGTACCTTTCCTTTAAAACAGTGCTACCAATTACTCTCCAGACAATTGTGTTAAGATGCCCATTTGCATCTGAGAAATTGTGCTTTTCATGTGATTTCTTAGTGAAGTTAACCTAGCTTTTGTTGTCTAAATTGCAGTCTTAGTAATTGAGTTTTTTAGCCATATTTCATGCTTGGATATTTCCTAAACACAACTTTGTAGATTCTTATAACTAACAAATATTTCGTATTTTTAGCAATGATGCCTAGTTTTAAATAAATGTTCAAATTCTAAATCTACAGGTGGCTTCTCTTGGAGAAGGTGTATCCCTGGAAACTAAATTGTTGAGCAGGTAAAATTGGATTGTTTCATGTCTGCAATTATGATACTTAACTTCCTGTGTGTGATGTACCATATAATCATCTGCAGGAAGGAAGCAGCATTGCGTAAAAGAGAGGTGAGTGGGAGCCACATATATGAAAAATTGACAATTCGTGTTGTGTCTTTAGCAGTGCATGGAAGCACATTGGTTTTAGATATGTTTTTTTTTTTTTGAACCAGTTTTAGATATGTTACTTATGTAACAAACATAAGTTTGTTATCAGGGTGTCCTCGCTGTTTCCTTTGTGTAATACTTCATTCTTTGTCAGAGGCTGCTTTCAGCTACAAAACATATTCTGTTTCAGGATGCTCTTAAAGCTTTAATGCAGATGAAGGATGGGAGGGATGAGGAGGTTGCTGCCCTTCGTGCAGAAGCAGAGGTTAGCATTTGCTAATCCTTCAGCGCCCCTAGTTTTTCTTTTAATTAAATTATATACTGCTGATCATTTTCTACCTTCCTTAATTTGTTTGAGTCAGAACTTCAAAGATGAGGCTGCAAATGCTGTAGAACAGTTTCAGGAAGCTGAATCAGAAGCAAAAGCTCTTCGTACCATGACACACAGAATGATTTTGACTCATGAAGAGATGGTAATATTTTGAACTTTAAGACATTTATGAGTAGTTTTGTTCACTGGATGTCCTTTGAATTACTGAAAATATACTCATTTTTGGTGGGGGTGGGGTGGGGAATCATGTTTTAGGAGGAGGTTGTTCTGAAGAGGTGTTGGCTTGCTCGCTACTGGGGCTTAGCTGTACAACATGGTAATGTACTTTTCATATTTTATTCTTAGCAAGTTGGCAACATGGCCTTCCCTGACTGATATTTTGTGCCTTGCTTTTCATGAGATTAAAGATGTTTGAATTAATGTGTCTGATTTACTAGATTGAATGTTGGAAAAATTATGATCTGGTGGACTAAAAAGTTGTGGAAAGTCATCCTACCTTTTTGAAACTCGTTATAGTTTCCAAGCTTGGTTAATCTCCACAAGTTCTGTTGGTCTTTTTTTGCTTGAAATGAACAACTGATTTCCAAATGTAATCAAATGCATTATATCTGTGTTTCTTTTTTCGCCATTGTTGCTTTCCCGCCTCGCAGGCATCTGTGCAGATGTAGCCGTCTCAAAGCATGAGCACTGGTCATCTTTAGCACCTCTTCCATTTGAAATTGTCATTTCCGCTGGGCAAAAGGCCAAGGAGGAGTCTTGGAATGGTGGAAACTCCTCCCATGCTATAATATTATAGATTTTAGTACTTCATTTGTTTGTGTCTCTCTTTCTAACTAATTAAACTTCTATTTTTTATGTCATGGAGCAGGTGGTGATGATTCAGATAGAAAGAGCAAACATGTCCGTGATTTGAGTGATTTAACTGGGGAAGGAAATATTGAGAGTATGCTTTCTGTTGAAATGGGTTTAAGGGAACTAGCTTCCTTGAAGGTCTTCTCATATATCTGTAGCTTCATTTCCCCCCCCCCCCCCCTCCCCTAAAAAAAAAAAAAAAACAATTTTAGTAGTAGTTGCTTGTTATGGCTTTCTTTTTCTAGGGTTGGAAATGCATTTGAGTATTTTACTTCTGTCATTTTCTTATGTGGTACTGCAGAGATTGATTTTCCCCTTTTTTCTGTATTTGTTTTATCTCGATGTCTTCACTTTCTCAATAATTTCTTATTGCTGCTATTTTAAGATTGAGGATGCTGTTTCAATGGCTCTGGCACCACATCGACGTCCAAATTTGGTTCGGCAGTCCTTCTCTGGTACGTCCACTGCTATGCTCCAGCTCTTCTGATGCAGAATGATTGCTTTGATTTCTTTGCTGCTTCTTTGTTATCTTCCTTTGTGTGAAAAATGCACATGCATGCACACACGTGATATATCTGGATGTATATGTTCGTACACATGCATTCTCTGTGGTTTGATCCTGCATTATTTTTCTTATTTGATTGTTAGTGACAGATCACAACCCTTAACTTAATCCCACCCATGAGGGGCTTTGAACTTTAGCTCCCACTGGTCCTTATTCGTTTGTTCTTGCAGATTAGTACATTGGGCTATATTTTTTCCCTTTTACTATATCAAAGCTGTTGCTTGTTTTTCACCATCTGTGTGATGCCTGACAACCATACCATCGGCAAATGCTTTGGGACATATCATCAACTGGATCCCTGCACAGGGACAGTTTATGCTATCTTGTTTGTAAATCTGGGGTGATAATTTCTATTCACAAGTAGTCTGATTCTTATGGCTGACTGCCTCTCCCTCCCTTATCGTTTGTCACATCTTTCTATAATTAATATCTGATTGGTACATTTTCATATTTTAAGTGAATTCTGTGGCTCTCAAAATTTCTAGTTTGAAGGAATGTGGAGGTTACCAGAGATTATAGGTTTGGTAATATGCACTAATACTTACAACAGAGTTTGTTTTGTTGCAGATTTCAAATCAACGGCTGATCCCAAATTCACAGAGGCTTTTGGTAATGGAAGTGCCCTATATCTTTGACATTAGAATTTCTGAGATTGAGAATTTGATACTAAAATCTAACTCACTGCAATAGCATTTATTAAGAATCAAAACAGTTCTAAGAAGGGCTTGTGTCCGTGTTGGACAAGTTTCAAACGCCGATAGTTATTCGGACACTTCCAGACACATCTCTAACACATCATGACTTTATCCTTAATTATAAACAAGAAATCTTAATTTTGGACACATGGCTGTCACTTCTTGGATACTTGCCAACATGACCGAAAAACTGAGAATGTTGAGCATGCCCTTCCTGTCATTGGATTTAAGAGGGGATCGACCTGCAAACCTTATCTATTTTATCTTTCTACCATTCTATACCAATCTCTGAATCATGGGAAAGATAATTTCTGATGCCCAAGAATTGATGGCCTCTAATATTGGGTGTATCGATTTGCTTTCAAGTTTCCCTGTATAGAGNAAAAAAAAAAAAAAAACAATTTTAGTAGTAGTTGCTTGTTATGGCTTTCTTTTTCTAGGGTTGGAAATGCATTTGAGTATTTTACTTCTGTCATTTTCTTATGTGGTACTGCAGAGATTGATTTTCCCCTTTTTTCTGTATTTGTTTTATCTCGATGTCTTCACTTTCTCAATAATTTCTTATTGCTGCTATTTTAAGATTGAGGATGCTGTTTCAATGGCTCTGGCACCACATCGACGTCCAAATTTGGTTCGGCAGTCCTTCTCTGGTACGTCCACTGCTATGCTCCAGCTCTTCTGATGCAGAATGATTGCTTTGATTTCTTTGCTGCTTCTTTGTTATCTTCCTTTGTGTGAAAAATGCACATGCATGCACACACGTGATATATCTGGATGTATATGTTCGTACACATGCATTCTCTGTGGTTTGATCCTGCATTATTTTTCTTATTTGATTGTTAGTGACAGATCACAACCCTTAACTTAATCCCACCCATGAGGGGCTTTGAACTTTAGCTCCCACTGGTCCTTATTCGTTTGTTCTTGCAGATTAGTACATTGGGCTATATTTTTTCCCTTTTACTATATCAAAGCTGTTGCTTGTTTTTCACCATCTGTGTGATGCCTGACAACCATACCATCGGCAAATGCTTTGGGACATATCATCAACTGGATCCCTGCACAGGGACAGTTTATGCTATCTTGTTTGTAAATCTGGGGTGATAATTTCTATTCACAAGTAGTCTGATTCTTATGGCTGACTGCCTCTCCCTCCCTTATCGTTTGTCACATCTTTCTATAATTAATATCTGATTGGTACATTTTCATATTTTAAGTGAATTCTGTGGCTCTCAAAATTTCTAGTTTGAAGGAATGTGGAGGTTACCAGAGATTATAGGTTTGGTAATATGCACTAATACTTACAACAGAGTTTGTTTTGTTGCAGATTTCAAATCAACGGCTGATCCCAAATTCACAGAGGCTTTTGGTAATGGAAGTGCCCTATATCTTTGACATTAGAATTTCTGAGATTGAGAATTTGATACTAAAATCTAACTCACTGCAATAGCATTTATTAAGAATCAAAACAGTTCTAAGAAGGGCTTGTGTCCGTGTTGGACAAGTTTCAAACGCCGATAGTTATTCGGACACTTCCAGACACATCTCTAACACATCATGACTTTATCCTTAATTATAAACAAGAAATCTTAATTTTGGACACATGGCTGTCACTTCTTGGATACTTGCCAACATGACCGAAAAACTGAGAATGTTGAGCATGCCCTTCCTGTCATTGGATTTAAGAGGGGATCGACCTGCAAACCTTATCTATTTTATCTTTCTACCATTCTATACCAATCTCTGAATCATGGGAAAGATAATTTCTGATGCCCAAGAATTGATGGCCTCTAATATTGGGTGTATCGATTTGCTTTCAAGTTTCCCTGTATAGAGGTTGGTCTTATTCTGTTATTCTGCAAGGGCATCAGATTGCAGATTCAAATGGTATATTATTTTATGTTACCACAAATTTGGGTTTTAGTTGGTTGGTTATAGGATGATTTATTTTCTACTAGCCCCTCTCCAGACTGTAGTGACTTAAAGTAAGCTGCTTTTACGTTGATATTTGCTATGCTGTAATGTTCCAGCCTTAATGCCTCATTCCTAGCCACTAAAAATATCTGGATGTACATTGCATGTATCAGATCTTTTGCGGTTGCATTGACATTCGTACATGCACCTTGCTCAATGTCCTTTCATCTGCATGAGGCTAAAAGATATGGTTTGCATGTCTAAGAGTAGTCGTAATGATGCATCTAATGTCAGGGTTTGTATGTTTAATTGCAGAATTAAGTCAGGATGAGTCTGAAGATGTTCTTTTCAAGGAGGTCAGATACCTTTTTTATGTTTATTATATGGTACTATTATCCTTTGACATTTATATACTCTTCTGATGACATATTACATACTATTGGTATTGTAATCTGGGGGGCTGGTGAGAATAGGAGTGGCAGAAGACTACTTCTCCAACCCCCCCTTTTGTAGTAATTTCACATAATGTAGATTATCTTTTTGGATTATATTTAGATTTGTAATTAGGTCGATTGTAGTAGAACTATGGATGTATTAAGGGGCTTCTAAAACTGTGTTTCTATCATCATTTTATTCTCATTTACAATTAATGGAAATAGTAATGTTACATGTGCTGTCATTCATCATCCCATCTGCAGTAGCAAGGACAAGAGGATAAATATGGTTAAACAATCATGAATGATGATGTGACCATGTTTTTTTATACCATATTGAGGTCTTATCAGATAGGTGACTATGGGAAACTTGCATTACCCACTTTCATGATCCATTTGAGGTCGTTCGGACTTGTGGATTAAACAAGTTGAGTTCTAAGATAATGAGCCAATAAACTATTTTCTTCTGCAATCCAGGACAACTATAAGAACCATCCAATTGAGATTGCTTCTTTAATCCATTTGTGTTCGACATCATTTGTTTCTTATATTGTTATTATACGAGTTATTAGGTGAATCAATGACCTACAGTGCTGAGTTAGGCTTGTCTAACCTCCATAGAAACTTGATACAAGTAACCTGATCCATTGAAGGCTCATGTTAAGCATATTTCTGGGTTGTAATGAACTGATATGCATGCATCAAGGAGTTCTTGTGTTGAACAGTTCCTGTATGCTGAGTGGAATGGAAAAGTTTTTTCATGTTAAAACTGAATATTTGCATAAACTATACAATGTGTGCAGGCTTGGCTTACATACTTTTGGAGAAGAGCCAAAGTCTATGGTGTAGAAGAAGATATTGCTGAAGAACGGCTTCAGTTCTGGATAAGCCGTAGTGGGCAGTTGCCAACATCACTTGATGCTGTCAATGGTAATTGTTTTTGTGTATAGTTTTAGTCTTGATTTTCAATGAATAAATGCTATTCGAGAAAGCAATTTCAAGGGTGCAGATGCACATGGCTTGTTAAATGCTAGGCCACTCGTTGAATGGGATATACCCCAAATGCGGGAGTGTTTTGCAGAATATATCATGTTACTTGATAAATATAACTTCGTTATGTCTGACTGGAAGTAAACTATTAACTGTGCTTTGGAATCACTATTGATGTACTTATTAGCCATATGTGCTGCTGAAGACATGTTGGATTACGGATTCCTAATATGAAAAAGAATACCGAAGAATGCAAACTTTGCCTGCAGGCCCCTCTCACCTATTATCTCATGGTTTGAATTATCTTGTCGTTGTTATGACACGAGTAAGATATCTCACCACCTATGGCCACTCCTGCCCCCACAATCATAAATGAATCAACAAGGATTCTTTAGACTACCATTGTTTGCATCTGTATGGAAGGATCATACGACTGTCGATGGAACTATGCTGGGTAATAAGCATCTATTGAATAGGTTTAGTTGTTTTATTATGCTAGCTACAGGGAAGCAACGACTTACAAGATCATATGAACTTGGATGGCATCAAATGTATGTGGTCTGGCTACTGACTGAGTTTTTATCATTCACAATGGCAGCTTCACAATGTTTGCAAAATTGTGAGGACATGCTTCTTTCTATAAGCAGATGGCAGTGGGCGTAACTACTCTCTAGACTACAGGAATATGGCATTAAAGATTACTGATATTATAAGAAAGGAAAATTGTTGTCTTTTATAACAATGACAAATTTTGTTGATAGCAAAGGATAAGATATGTTCTGAAAAGCCTATTTCTGTATCATATGATTCTTGTAAGAGATTGACATCAAAATATAACTGAGATTTGTTTCTGAATGATATGTGAGTAAATAAGAATTAACTGTCATGGTTTCTGATTAATTATGAAGAATTTTCGCTATCTTGTTCAATTATAGATTGATGAAGTTGTGCCGGAACTTATGATTGCAATGTGTGCTTTGTAACAGTTGAACGAGGTTTGGAAGAACTGAGAAAGCTGGGGATAGAACAGCAATTGTGGGAAGCATCGCGGAAGGAAATTGACCAGACCTCTGCATCTCCGGTTGCTAATCACAATCTTGCTGCAGAATCAGAGACTTCTTCATGATAAAAAATTAAAAAAAAAATGCTGCCATGATATGTTGATTCTTTTTTATTTTAAAATTTTAGATTTTTCTCCATACAAAATTTCAGCCCCATGGCTGGGGGCTATTTTATACTCCTTTCTTTTTGGTTCCTTGTAAACGAGAACTAGAATAACTGTATTAATAGTCTGAGGGAAGTTTAGCTAACTTCTGCCCAATAGATTGGATGGTACATAGACCCCATTGAAAGTTTTGTATTTATATTTCATTTGTTTCAATGATTTTTGAAGTTTATATGCTTTTGGGAGTTTAATTGATAACATTAGGTAGGAAATTGAAAGCACAACAACAGTCGAAATTGATTTAATTTTTATCTACTTAGATTTAATGGTACAAAATTTATCTTAATTTTTTTTTTTGCTCAAAAACATTATATTTTCTACAGAGGAGGTCTAAATGTCAGACAATCTCTTTAATTTACATCTACTTTTATCTTCTCTCACCTGCATCTCTTTTATTTTTTTTTATTCACTTGAATTTTAAATTGTGTAATTAAAAAAATTTTATTATTTAAAATATAAACATTGTACAATCAATATTCAATTTTTAGTATTACAAAGTGTCTTTTGATAGAGGAATCCTTTTATATGCTGGGTAACAGGATGACCCATAATAGTGAAGTGATTTATGTATTGTGAGCTTTCACACATTAATTTTCTAAATTGCAGTTAAGTGGAGGTGAAAATGAAAATTTGTATCGCTTGGTTGAAAGAAAAATTTTGAAAAGTGAAAACTAAATCTCGAAGTTAGTTCGAATGAGAGGATTCCAATGGTGCAAAACCTTGAGGCGAAAAGTTGAAGCTTTTGCCTTACCCAATCTACACGGTGGTTCGGGTGATTGTGTGTATCTCAAGTTTATATTTACAACTGAACTCTCATTAAAATTGAGGTGACAATAAAAAATGTGAACAGAAAATATTAATGTTTTAGAAGATTTATAAAAGTTGCTTAAAATTTAGAGATAAAATTTTATTTATTTATTATTTTTAATCCTAAATGGTAGATCAATTAGTAACAGGAGCAAGCTATAAACTCAGACGTCTTGAGTTCGAATTTTGGTAATTCCTTGGAAGAGGCGGTGAAGGATTTTATTCTTTATGAATACACTAGTCCCAACGTGAATGATCTGTATTTGACAAGACCGGATAGGGTTTATAAGGGAAGATAAAGAAACATTGGTATGGGGCCTAGAGCAACTTAAGCATGTTGGCTTAGTGCAAAAGCAAAAGACAAACAATCACCGGATCAAAAAACTTGCATAGTTAATTGATTAGCCAACTGGATGATCTAATTCATGAGGAAGTTCATCTTTACAGGAATTAATGTAACCCAACCACGTTTAAAGTAAAGGTTCTATTTCTAGACTCTGGAGCATCAAGTGTGGTTTGTCCCCGAACTCTAGCCCTTCCAGCACCTCTGGATGTCGTAGTCTTTTGAATTCTATCTCCTCTAAAAGATTAGATTTCTTCTTATGCAGCAAAATATCCGACTTAGCAATCAATGGATGGTAGGTCTCATACCCTATGGTCAGCCCGTCATTTCCTTTCTGTCTATCTACATAGGTTGGTTTCCATTTATATAATGGATATGACATGAGTCCCTAAGAGCTGCAAGAGGCTGAATTCCGAAGTAATCAGTCGATGTGCGTATAAATTAATCCGAAGATTTCTAACTGTTGAATCCAAAAAATATTTGACGGGGGAATGGTCCACCTCCATTTAGTTAGGCCACTAGTTAACGACTGTTCTTCGTTACTAAGTAAAAAAAAAACTATTGTTGACCGCTATTATTTCTTCCACACCCTCTGAGCAAAAGGAAAGAGAATTCAAAAAAAGGTAACATGCTTTCCCACTGTTTCTCACTTTTATTAGTCATCACATAAAGAGAAAGAGATCAAAAGGATGAAAAAAGTGATACTTTGCTACCACGGCAAGAATCCAACGGCAACATAAGTTCTAGTCCACCAAAATGACCATTGCCCACGTCACTTAGCATTCTTTGGCTTTCAACAAAATTTCGTTATACAAATACGATATGAACTTGAAAATAACAAGACTAATGAACACGAATAATAAATAATTTGTTTTATAAGGATTTTGATCAAATAAAATTTTAATTTATGAGAGATGTACACTATATTTGATTCAAAAAAAAATATTTATCTCACAATTTTTAGTTTACGATATATATTATATAACACGAACACGACGTGAACCAAAGAAAACACGATTCAATATGATCAAAACATCACACCACACGGCTTCATTTGCACCTAATGTAGATTCCTCCTGTTTAGCAGGAGAAGAAAAACTTCCCTGCACTCCTTAGGGTTGAATCCAAAGGCATAAAAGCCCTAGAACCTGCTAATACCTTGGGGCTTGAGCAAGAGGGCCCACATTTTTGCCATCTATTTTGAGAAAAAAAAGGACAAAACACTTGTGGGTGTCCCTATCGTTAGCAGGTATGCAAGTGGGAAACAAAAAAGAATAGTTTATGCTAATCGTCTCAGAAGGTGGGAGGGGGGACACTGTTTAGAATCTATAATGGAGATTATGAGGGAGACAGAGAGAGAGTGTGTGTGTGTGTGTTTGTGTTTAAAGTGAAATAGCAATGGATGATGTTAGAGACCTCATTATTATGGTACCACCTTTTTCTTATCAAAAGGTCAAAAAGAATAAACCTCACCTCAACATATTTACATAAAGAAATGTATAAACTTTCAAGTATAAGATTTGGGAGTTATTCTGTGATTCATTTTTGTATTCTCTTAGTTAGTTATTAGCCGGTGTCCTGTGTTATGTGAGAAATTTATAACTCATCTTGCTCTAACTCATTGCTTCTCACCCTTCCACCCTTCTTCAATTTTTTTTATCACATAACATTGGGTAATTTCCGAAATTATTAAAATTTGTAAGGAATTGAAATTAATTTTTTTTAAAAAAAAATTGAATGGGGATGGTTTATTAGTAAGATAGTGAACCAAAAAAAAAATTATTATTTTATATATATATATATACTAGTTATTTCTTGTAGCTGAAGGCACAAAATAATAAAAAATGGTAAACAATAAATATATTTGTATTCATATTTAAAATTAAATTGCAAACATAAAGAAGAGATAAAGAAATTTAAACATCAGTTTGTAGTGGGAGTAAGAGATAGTAGGCGATAATGACGGTGGTAGGAGACAGTAATAGTGGCAACGGCGATAATGATGGTGGTGGTGACGACGGCAACGGTGACGGCGGTGGTGATAGTGGCGACAATGGTGGTAGTGGCAGCGGTGGTGGTGGTGGTTAGGGTAGAAATGTTACTAAAGTACAAAGTTCGCTTATACATGCAAGGAAGCATTATTAAAGCATGGAAATCTCTTCCAAATTGCAGTCCATCTGTCAATCATCAAATTTCATCAAAATCAGGAAAACTTGAGCTGGTACTTGTAGACCAACCAAATCCAAGAAATCAAGTCACCATTCACAAAGCTCCATAAGAAACTCTAATTTGGTCTTACCTGCAACCCTTATGATGCTGTCCCATTTCCCTTGAACTTAAATGAGTTTTTTTTTTTTTTTGGGAAACACCATTATACTTGTTTTAAAACATCTTCATAGAAACAGAAAGTAATTCTGTAAAGTCTCACTTTTTATGGAACATACCCTTTGTTTTAGCTAAAAGCCTAAAAGGGTGGACTTGGTATATGATATTTTTTCACTTTGTATTCATTGTATTGGGAAACCAAGAAAAGGAACTGTATTTTCTGAGAAGATATTCAGAGTTTGTAAAGCAGCTGAGTATTCCATTCCCTCTTTTCACTTTCAAAAACAGCAACCCCACATGCTGACTCAGGTCCTGTAGGCAGGTGGGAGGGTGACCCAACTCACGTTTTAGCAATCAACCACCAAACTATTTAAAAATTTTAGAGTTAGAGCAACGGTAAAATTATTTCACTGTGATTTGTAGGTCAGAAGTTTGAGTTGTGAAAATAACCTATTTGTTTGCTAGATAAGACTGCGTACATCTATTCTTCCCCATACCTTATAATGGAGTGAGTATCGTGCATCGGTTATGCCTTTTATTTTTTCTATATTGTAATTTTTATTTCATTTTGATATATTATTGTATATTGGAAAGAATTATTTAAACACACGTTTTTTGATGTAAATGCATGTTTGCAAAAGAAGTTTTCAAGATTTTATATTTGAAAAACATTAGATCAAACTATGCTTTCACATATATAGAAGTTTAAAATTTAATTAAAAATCTTGAAGTTAGAAAAACAAAAAAAAAACAATTATTTTAGCAAATACTCTCTACATTCTAGTCTCTCACACATCACTTTCCTCACTATATCTAGCCTGGAACCAAAATGCTAATCCTGTAATGATGATCAATATAAAAAAAACAAGGCATGCTGTTTGTTTACTTCCCCACTTGTAAGTCCATGACTCTATCTCTATGCCCTCCACTGAGAACAGCATAAATCCAGGCCTTTCATTGTTTCACTTAAAGTGCTGCTTTCCAATCCGTTCTTCATCTTCACACCTGAAGTTCATGGATTCACTGACATGGAAAGCCATGGTAATGGCTGTGCTTTTGCTGCTCCTGTGTTCTTTTATGGAGGGTGAGTCCTCATTGTGTGAGTCTGAGAAGATTATTCAGCTTCCTGGACAACCACAAGTGTGGTTTCAACAGTTTTCAGGCTATGTCACTGTGGATGACCACAAACAAAGAGCTCTATTTTACTACTTTGTTGAGGCAGAAATTGAACCAGCGACAAAGCCCTTGGTCCTCTGGTTGAATGGAGGTATGTAAGTTTCAATTCATCTGGGCATCATTAGTTCAAATCACGAAAATAGTTTTTTTTTTGTATAATGATTGTGTACATAGTAGTAATTAGAGTCTCGTGCACTGGATTATCAGGTTTAAAAAATGCTAGTATGCAAGTCCTTGATTGCCCAATTTGGGTGCTCATGTTTTTGCTGGAAACTAATGAAGTTCCCATGTAATTGCATTTGTCTCTTGAAGGTCCTGGCTGTTCCTCTCTGGGTGTTGGGGCATTCTCTGAAAATGGACCTTTCAGACCAAATGGACAGGTCTTGGTCAGAAATGAATATAGCTGGAACAAAGGTACAATCATTAAAATCTAACAACCTTAACCGTTTTTGATCTTCATTTCAAAACAGCAGATAATTTGATCTTTCAATCTTACCTTGCAGAGGCAAATATGTTGTATTTAGAGACACCAATGGGAGTTGGGTTCTCCTACTCAACTGATACCTCCTCATATGAGACAGTTACTGATGAGATTACAGGTATATTCTATAAATTTCAATTCCTTCGTTCTTCTACTCTTAATCGAAAAGTACATACCTTTGTTGTCTTCGTTTATTCGGGTCATTTGCATTTCTATCTGTGATTTTTCTAGTTCCAATTTTCACTTCTCCAGAAGTGTTAGTCTCCTGAGTGGGGGATGTCTTGATTACACAACTTTTGTGGGCTTTTTCGAATCGGTAAGATTGTTTTATTATAACCTCGGTTTTATAGATACCACCACTTTGCATGCGAGGTCAAGCGGAGTACATGTGACCCTTCCCTATATGCCTCCTTTTTGTTCATGCAAGCTGTTAAGCTATCGATAAGCGAGACCTGAGGGATGAATTTAGAAAAATGACTCTAATTGCTCTTTCCGAAAAAACTTCTTAGACTCCATGGTCAGAAAAGTCTCGTGTATTGGATCGCTCTTTTAAGAAGTCACAGCAGAACAGACATTTAGGCCTACGTAACAATGCAACCTCTCTTTGTAATATATAAAAATTTTCCTGGCACATCAAATATTTTTATTTATTTATTTTTTTTAATCCTAAGGATAGTTCAAGTGGTAACTGAGATAAATTATAAACTTAGACGTCCTAAATTCGAATATTGTCAATGCTTTGGGACCAGGCCATGAGAGATTTATCCCTTATGAATATCCTAATTTCAGCGTGAATAACTTGTCTTTGAGTAGACCGGGGAGGAGATTAATTAAGGTGTGCATAAACTGGTCCTGAATTCGAACATTAGCAATCCCTTGAATCTAGGACATGAGAAATTTATCTCTCGTGAATATCTTAGTCTCTGCTTTTGACCGGACTAGAGAAGGATTTAGTCGATATGCACGTAAGCTGGTCTGAACACCCGTTGGACCCAAAAAAAATAGATATATTTTAAACCTTTCCAAGTTTAATTATAATGGGTTCTTTTTTATAAATATAGAGATTTGTGGAAGATCAATTTGTTTTGTTTTCAGTCCTTCTAATCTATGTACACCTTTAAATTTTTAAGCCAGGGACAATCTTGTGTTCTTGCAACGATGGTTCCTTAAATTCCCTCAATATATGCAGAGGGATCTGTTTATAACAGGAGAAAGTTATGCAGGTATAATTGTCAAGCTGATCATATTTTTTTCTGTTTTGGGGGCATTGCCAAAGACAATTAGGATTTGAATACTCTCTTCCCTCTTGGCTTGGTCATACCAGGTCACTATGTTCCTCAGTTGGCTGAGCTCATGATTCAATTCAACAAAAAGGAGAAGCTGTTCAATTTGAGAGGAATTGCTGTAAGTTCTATCCAGGTTGAAGTCTTAATTTTAATGATAAGAGTGTTATTCACTAATGCTAATGTGATAATTTGAAGAATCAATTGGAGTAGTACTGTCACGAAAGTTGTTATTTTCTCTGTGTCATCGAATCTCGAATATTATCGGTCAATATCTAGTTGACTTAACCTGAAGCATTTTTTGAGTCAATCATAAATCATCTTTCATTGAATTGGCGACATCGCTATTGCGATCGCACCAAATGACTTGAGTCTCTTATTGTGTTCAACTTTTTCTTCCATTTGGGATTTTGTGCATATTGTGATGACCAAAGCATCTCAGAGACACGGCCCGGCCTTGGAAAAATAAAAGTGTGGGCTTTAGGCCCACATTTGAAAAAAAACCCAAATTTAAAGATTAATAATGTAATATAAATTAAAATTTAAAATTTACTATAATATAGCATAACAAAATAATTTTTGAAAGAGTAAATCAATAAAAAAAAAATTAAAAAATTGGGCCTAAAAGTCCAGACCACCTCATACAATCACCTTTATTAAAGGGAAAAAAAAAGGAAATAAAATCCATCTCTTTCTCTAATTAAAATAAGTATAATAAGCATCTCTCTCTAATAAAAAAAATTCAAAACAAACACATTCTCTACTTCTCTTAAATTTGGTTTTTTCTCATTTGAAAGCAAAACACCAATTAAACTATTTATTCTCATTAAAAAAATATTTTGATAAAGTTCTTATTCGTAACAAATAAAATATAACAAAAATTTAGGTGAAAGTTTCATAAATAAATAAGTAAAATTCAAAGATAGTAAAATAATCCAAAAAAAAAAAAGATAACAATGAATTTATTTATAATAAAATCAATCATCTAATACCACAATCTCGATAAAGAAAATACAAAACAAATAAAAAGAATATAAAAATATTAATGATCAAAAGTCCTATTATTAATCAAAAAAATATATTAAAAAAATTTGAATAAAAAAAAATTAGCAATTTCGAATCTCATCAAAAAATAAAAATAATAGATTTTCAATTAAAAAATTAAATTATTATTAAGAAAATGAAAAAAAGTCTCACTAACTGTCATTGCTTAAAGTCTCAAATGTTGTTGAGTCACCCTTACTCAGTGCTTTCCAAGTTCATGATGAATATCGCGATCTTGAATCACGTCTAGTACTCTGGAACGAAACTTCCGTGATCCAACTTCCATTTTAGAATTTTTTTTTTTTTTTTAAATTTAAAGGTAGGTAGCACTAGCACTATCTGTGAAGCACTTTGAGCCTCAGTGCTCCACATTCTGAGCACATGGTAAAATATACAAATATGGAGAGACAATAAGCTTGAAGTGACTGTAAAAAGTTGTCATTTGTTATATTGTTTTTGCTGAAATACAAATTTATGTTGCAGTTGGGTAATCCAGTACTAGAATTTGCTGCTGACTTCAATTCAAGGGCTGAGTTCTTCTGGTCTCATGGATTAATATCTGATTCAACATATACAATATTCACTTCTTCTTGCAACTATTCTCGGTATGTGAGCGAGTACTATAGAGACTCGGTTTCACCTGTTTGTTCAAGGGTCATGAGCCAAGTGAGTAGAGAAACAAGTAGATTTGTGGACAAGTATGATGTTACCCTTGATGTTTGTATCTCATCAGTGCTCTCCCAATCCATGGTTTTTACTCCCCATGTAAGTCAAGTCTTACCTCAAAAACTAAACGCTTATTGATTTCGTTTATCTCATTTTAAACATGATTGCCATTAAATCTGGCAGCAACCTACTGAGAAAATAGATGTATGCGTGGAAGACGAAACAGTGAGTTATTTAAACCGACAAGATGTGCAGCAGGCTCTCCATGCCCGTCTAGTTGGAGTCCGCAGATGGGATGTTTGCAGCAAGTAATCCTTTTTCACCTACCAAGAGATACAATACAAAATCAGCATTTCAAGTCTAATGAACTCAACAAGTCAAAAATGAAACTTCACTTAAATCATTCATGAATTTCATTTTGCTTCAAACAACAAAGTAGTAGTAAATTTGCAGAACAAATCAACTGATTACGGGTTTTTGTAACCGATTATTACAGAGTGAATTTTTTTTTGTTTGGTTGAGTGTTAATTATTCTTCTTCTACCACAGCATTCTGGATTATGAGCTGCTTAACATAGAGATACCTACTATCTCTATACTGGGATCACTTATCAAAGAAGGAATCGCAGTCTTGGTTTATAGGTAACTAGATTTTCAGGCTTACATTTCATGATGTTAATAAGATTTGAGGAAGTTCCATAGTTTCTATTAATGCTGACCCAATCTCAAATTTTTCCCAACAGTGGGGATCAGGATTCTGTTATTCCGTTGATTGGCAGCCGCACCCTGGTCCATGACCTGGCAAGAAAACTGGGACTGAATACAACTGTTCCATATAGAGTTTGGTTTGGGGGGCAGCAGGTAAAATTATGTTCAATTTATGCTTGTGAAAGAGAGATATCTCGGTTCTTTCGTTTTCCTTTATTTTCATTCTTTGGTTGCAAGACTAAAGCAGAATTATGAAATTAGCCCACTATTGAACAAGGTAGCAACTTGTACATACTCCTGCAGTCTTTCTCATCCAAGCTGCGTAATTTAATTGCTGGAGATTGGAGTCACTTAGCTTCTTTTCTGCTATTCTTGTGGGACTCGTGGTTCTATCCCCATCGGTCCACTTCATTTTTCAATCCTCCACACTACAAAAAACATGTTATAGTTTGCCTGCAAACTTAAATTGAACAGAGATTTCTTCAACCAGTTGTTTTCTGTACGCTAGAAACTTCAGTGTTGCTTCTCTGTCCTAGAATTTTATTGTTGTAGGGAGGGTAAATAACGCATTTCCTTCACCAAAAAGGAACATAGTATGTATATTGATTCAACAAGAAGCAACCATATGGTATGATTCATAATTAACATGATCATCGACTCTAGAGGTTATGTTAAACAGAAGCAACATCGTGTTTCATGTACAAGAGTGTGTAGCTGTGATTAAAATGTTCATAAAATGTACATACTATGCCCCCTAAAGGCTTCTATTAATTTTATGTATGCTTCACTTGCTTTATGGTAAAGAATTCAGAGAATTTGAGTGACAGACAGTGTTCCGGAAAAAAAAATTCATACAAACTAATGCAGAAAATGCTATAATCTTGAGTAACTTTCTACTGAAAGAGGGTTAGAACGTGTTATAACTATACCGTTTCTCTGAATCCTATACAGTTTTGTAACTGGCTCTTCTCTGTTCATGTTGTTCATGTCCAGGTTGGTGGATGGACTCAAGTTTATGGCAATATGCTCTCATTCGCCACGATTAGAGGTGCTTCTCATGAAGCTCCTTTTTCACAGCCCGAGAGATCCCTCGTGCTATTCAAATCATTTATACAGGGGAGGCCTCTACCAGAAATGTTCTGATTGTACAAATCAGTGTCATAGTACATAGGGTGAGATTGTGAGTAGTGTTTGATGTGTCAAAGCATTCCCGTGTCCTTAACAGAAAAGGGAAAAGAAACAAAGTGAAAGTGTTGAATATTCAAGTTTTTATTTTTTCTTTCAGGAATGGAAAATGCATCATCTATATATGTTTGAATGATAACAAAATACCTCTTTTGCATGTGGTAATAAAGTTGTGTGTATATATTTGATCCTCTCTAGACTCTGAAATAACGAGAGTTTCGTGCATTGAGTTACTTTCTTCCTTTTTTTTCACATGTTGAATGAAGTTCTAACCCACTACAAGAACATGAAGGTGAAACTTAGGTAGCTCTAGTAAAATGGTTTAGATATAAATCACCTAATTCTATCAGAAGAGAAAGAAAGTCATAGATCAAATCAAATATGTAATTATTAGAATAATTGTTGGAGACTCAAACGATGGATATGTAAGCATGATAACTTATATGTTATTCTATATCTCCATGAATCCAAAAACTTTTGCTTGCATCATATTATTTGATTTACGTATCAAAACTGATAACTATCAAAATTATATAGGATTATACACGAAATATCATTTTTTTGGCTCTCTTTAGCCTTCTCTCTTATTCCTAGGGGGTCTTCCTCCATTAGCAAGTTTTTTTCAAAAAGCTCTATTTATTCTAGTGTGGATGATAAGAAGGCATATATTTCTTGGTTTTTATAGACCGGTGCATACCTGATTCAATACAACTGTTACACCACGTCATCATAGTGATGTGGTATAACCGACCAATTATAAATAATCATGTAAGACTAGTGGATCCCACTAAATTATATAATCACAAATAGCTTCCACATTCAAACCTTTCATATAAAATTAATAGAGTTCACTTATCCTCTTTGTTTGTTTACACAACGTAGTTGTTGTGAAGTGCTGCAACCGTTGCATTGAATAGAAAGCCTTATTCCATATTGTTAAGGCTTATTCTCGGACTCAAAACCACCACATATTACCTGAGTGCTTCAATGTATATTAAATTACTTACCGTAGATACTCTTTATAATTTGTTTGTCTTCAGATATGCTGCATGTTTTGAGTCTCTCTGATTTATCTTCGTGGCATTCAAGTAGTTACATAGGCCGGTCTCCGCCAACTTCAGACACGATCAGCCAAATTAACACAAAATTGACACAAAATTAGTAGATTTGGATCTAAGTCCTAAATCAAGTAGACCTGTTAGATTTGTCAAATAAATGAGTCATCACAAACCTGACAACACGTAACCTGAACCTTCTTAAACACGGTTTGTACACAATCCAAATTTAACAAGAAACAAACTAAACCCCGCAAATACACAAATATAAATGAGTTGAGTTTAGGTAGAACACATTTTAATGATTTAAACACGATACAAATCCGACCTAACCTGGTGAGAGCCATAATACTACTCCGAGCTTCTTCTGGATTCATACAATATATTTCATTCTCCAACAGCAATAAATTGTTCATACACTAATGTTTCATACTCCAACTGCAATAAATTGTCATCCAGAAGAGTAAAGAAGAATAGAACCCTCACAGATTGTAGAATCACTGCAAATCATCTAACCCTAATAATAAATGACTGACTGAACTACTCATGCAATTCAGAAGAGGTACAACAAATTGTAGAATCACTGCAAATCATCTAACCCTAATAATAATGACTGACTGAACTACTCATGCAATTCAGTAGAGATACAGCCTCTAAACTCGGCCACCATTGATCGGCTTCAAATCTACTGCCAAACCAGTTCTTCAAGCAATCCGATACATTTGTATCCATTTCAAATGAAAAACAGCAGTAGAAACAACATATTGGTAAAGATTAAGCTTGCTCACACAGGAATAGGCTCTGGTAATGATTCTGGAGGAGCACCACTGCTACCGTTGAGGACGGTCACGTTTCCATCAGAATCAACATCAACGATGACTGAATTGCCCTCTTTGATCTCACCAGCAAGCATCTTCTCAGCCATGCTATCCTCCAAAAGTCTCATAATGGCTCTTCTTAGCGGCCTCGCACCATAGCTTGGGTTGTATCCTTCCTCAACCACCCTGTCTCTAAATCTTTCCGTCACTTGAAGCTCTATTTCCTTGCCTTTAAGCCTCTCAAAAACTTCCTTCAACATTATATCAGCAATCTCCTTCACCTCAAGTTTGGTGAGCTGCCGGAATACAATCATCTCATCCAACCTGTTCAAGAACTCTGGTCTGAAATATTGTTTCAGTTCTTCTGTCACCAAGCTCTTGATTCGGTTGTAACTGCTATCCTTCTCATCATACTCGAGATCAAAACCAATACGACGGCCACCCTTCTCAATCACACTACTTCCGACATTAGATGTCATAATCAAAAGTGTGTTCTTAAAGTCCACAGTTCTGCCCTTGCTGTCTGTCAACCTTCCATCCTCAAGAATCTGAAGCATCATGTTGAAGACATCAGGATGAGCCTTTTCAATTTCATCGAAGAGCACAACAGTGTAAGGACGGCGTCGAACAGCCTCGGTTAACTGACCACCTTCAGTGTAACCAACATAGCCAGGTGGTGAACCAATGAGCTTCGAGACAGTGTGTCTCTCCATGAACTCACTCATATC